CAGGCCTGTGGTCCTAGCTACTCAGGAGGCTGAGATCTGAGGCTCACAGTTCAAAGCCAGCCTGGGCAAGAAAGTCTGGGAGACTCTTATCTCCAATTAACCACCAGAAAACTGAAAGTGGTGCTGTGGCTCAACTGGTAGAGCATTAGCCTTGAACAGAACAGCTCAGAGATAGCACCCAGGCCAAGTTCAAGCCCCATGACCAACCCCCCCCCCCAAAAAAAACCCAAAGTTCAGAACGTTGATGCTTTTACCTTGTTGCGCTATACTCCGAAAGATCTACTGACAGAATAATTTGTGCCAAGAAAAGCACTAGGCAGTGATGTTCACTGACACATTATTCTAGAACATTTCTTCTACAACATTTCTTCTTGGGACAACAATAGAAAGCACAACTTAGCAATTAAGCATTAATCAGAAAAATAACATTTGGATATAAGTTTTTCAATTCTCCTATACATGTATGCTTTAAAATACACAATTGTGGCATTCTTTCCCATCTGCAGCTATATAATTTGAACATTTTCTTCTTCTATTGTACTCCCCTGAGAAAAGTGTAACCTTGGTGGACACCAGCAGTTTTTTGCATCTGGAGAGCTGAACATAGTTGAGAGAAAAAATCCACACAAGCTGCCTGGTTTCACTTTAAATCATGGTCATAAACCTCAAATTAGCCCTTAGAACAATCCAGAAATGCTAAAATGCAGTAAATTTACTTTCCCAATCTCTGTGAAGACATGTGACACCTTTCGTCACACCTCTTGTATACTTCCCTGCTTAGCCAGTAACTTCATCTCCAAGGTAACCCCACACATTGCCACTATCTCTGGGCCCATCAGTACTCAAAAGTATCCAGGTCTGGCTCTCTGTTTCTCAGGCCCAACCTCTTCTTTCTTAGAGAAGCTCAGTCTTTCAGTTATTCTCCCATCTCCTGTATCCCATTTTTTTTTTGTTTCTTGTCAATGCTAATTCCCCAGTTTATAACTGCAGCTGAAGTATTCTTCCAAGCACCAGAGCTACCTCCCAACTACCTACCACCCCTTGGAAGTCTCTAGCAATCTCAGCCTCACACTAGGCAAACAGGACCACTGGTGTTCTCTCCCTCTAGGTCTGCCCAAGCATCTTGATATTAATTTCTTTGTTTAAACCCCAATCTAGGGTTGTTCATGTTACTTTTTTTTCCTCTCTGATTCATCTAAGCTATAACTCTGATATCCACACACTTCTCTCCAAACCAATCCACTGCAACCAGCCATGCTTGGAAATCAGGCTTCCTGACTTCCTATTCTCATTTCTGCAGTATATCAAATGACCTCCCTGCCTTCTGTCACTTTCTAGTGCCCTTCAGATAAAATTATACTCCTCAAGAGCCACGGGCACATGATCTGGCTTCATCCTCAGCCTATACCTTCTTCGGGTCCAAGAAACTGTCAAGTGCTTTTTCCTTTTTTCCACTTCAGACCTTTGTCTCCTTTCTCTCCTTTGCCTAGTTTTTGGCTGCCTTCCTTCTGGTGAAGTCTGACTTCCGTTCCTTGTTTATAGAGCTGCTTATACTTGTTTATATTTTCCTACCATAAAACCTTATTTATTTTCTTTAGAGTACTTAGGAGAAGCTGTGGCTGCTCCCTTCCTGAGAGTGTAAGCCTCCAAGAGTTGAACAGATATCATCTTGTTCTTCCTGGTGCTTAGTACAGTGACTGGCAAATGCAATGGAAGAGTGAATGCATGAATATATATTTTCTCAGGTGGTTATTTCTCATAGGTACATAGTATCCCATTTACAAAAGTAACCTGATTTACTTTTAACCATTGCACTGTTACTGGTGTTTCTCTTTGGGAAATATTCGTAACTAAGCTATGGACTGTTACGGTGGCATTTAAAATCCTAGAAGACTGGGGATGTAGCTCAACTGTTGAAGTACTTATCTAGCAAATGTGAGGCCCTGAGTTCAAACTCTGGTACCACATAAGCAAATAAATCCATAGAAAGTATTTTTATTACGGGAAATGAATATGTTAAGTGATAAAAGCATAATATAAGATTATGTTGCTGGGCACTGGTGGTTCATGCCTATAATCCTAGCTACTCAGGAGGCTGAGATCTGAGGATCTCGATTCAAAGCCAGCTGGGGCAGGAAAGACTGTGAGACTCTCAATAAACCACCAGAAAATCGGAAGTAGTACTGTGGCTCAAGTGGTTAAGCACTAGCCTTGAGCTAAAGAGCTGAGGGACAGCGCCCAGGCCCAGAGTTCAAGCCCCACGACACACACACACACACACACACACACAAGATTATGTATATAACATGATCTTAACTATGTAAATATGTATAGGAAAAACTTATTAGGAAATAAACAGAATTTCAGATTTGTTTGGGCTTGTTTTTGGCTTATACTTAGGGCCTGGGCACTGTCCCTGAGCTTTTACAACTCAAGGCTAGTGCTCTACCACTGAGCCACAGCTCTACTTCTGCCTTTTTGGTGGTTAATTGGAGATAAGAGTCTCATGGACGTTCCTGTCTGGCTGGCTGAGAACTGCAATCCTCAGATCTCAGCCTCCTGAGTAGCTAAGATTATAGGTGTGAGCCACCAGCAAGCACCTTGCTAGATTTTTCTTGTTGATATGTGTGTTTGTACAGGCACGTATGTGCACATTGGTGCTGGGGCTTGAACTCGGTGCCTAGGCACTATCCCTGAGCTTTTATGTTCAAGGCTGGTACTCTACCACTTTTGAGTCACAGCACCATTTCCGGCTTTTTGGTAGTTAATTGGAGATAAGAATCTCACATTTTTCTTTTCTTTTCTTTTCTTTTTGGGTCTGGTCGTGGGGCCTGAACTCTGGGCCTGGGCGTTGTCCCTCAGCTCTTCAGCTCAAGGCTAGCGCTCTACCCCTTGAGACACAGAGCCACTTCCGGCTTTTTTTTTTTTTTAATGTGGTGCTGAGGAATTGAACCCAAGGCCTCAGGCATGCAAGGCAAGCGCTCTACCACTGAGCCACCTTCCCAGCCCCATGAATCTCACATTTTTCTGCCTGGGCTGGCTTTGAACTGTGACCCTAAGATCTTAGGATCCTCAGTAGCTAGGATTACAGGCATGAGCTACCAACACCCATCTTACTGATTTTTTATTTATTTAAAAATTTTTTTTTTTGTCAGTTGTAGGGCTTGAATTCAGGGCCTGAGCTCTGTCCCTGAGCTCTTTGGCTCAAGGCTAGTTCTACCACTTGAGCTACAGTGCAACTTCTGGTTTTCTGGTGGTTCATTGGAGATGAGTCTGACATACTTGCCTGCCTGTGCTGGTTTTATTTAAACAATGATCCTCAGATCTCAGCCTCCTGAATAGCTAAGCATGAGCCACCAGTGCCCAGTTTTGTTGATTATTTTTAAGAGTATTAATAATTTATGTGTGTTGGGGGTGTTTCTTAAAAAAATACTATATGTTTTCAACTTTCTGTGGTGAGTTAATGAAGTTTCTCATTAGGAAAAAATGTTCCTAAAAACTTCAGAGTACTGTGGCTGGGAAGGAGGCTCAGTGGTAGAGCGCTTGCCTTGCATGCATGAGGCCCTGGGTTCGATTCCTCAGCACCACATAAGCAAAAAAGAAAAAAGCCGGAAGTGGCACTGTGGCTCAAGTGGTAGAGCACTAGCCTTGAGCTGAAGAGCTGAGGGACAGTTCCCAGGCTCAGAGTTCAGGCCCCATGACCGGACCCCCCCCCCAAAAAAAAAACACAACAACTTCAGAGTACTTTATGACATATCCAACTATTTAAAATACTCAAAAGCAGAGAAACCATCATAACCTAGAGTTACCTAAATGTTTGAAACACACTTGCTGATAACAGGGTTGTGTGTGACCTGGACTTGCAGAGAGGCAGAAGTCACCTTTCCTTTGGAGGCCCCAAGGCTGGTTAGATTTATCTGTGCTTGTGGTGTTGAAACCAGGCTTACCAAATGATGTCTTAAGAGTGTGCCACAGATGTGTCACATCTCTTTCTAGAGCTTGACTGGGGCTTATGTGGCTTGAGCCCTTTATGCACTTAACTTACGCAGTGGTTCTCAAACCCAAGACCTGATTCATGAGGTCCCAGCTGTCTTCAACTAAGGTGTCTTGTGCCCTCTTCATTTTCATGCTGTCCGCAGTTAGCAGAATTTCCAGATGCCTCACATTTGCTGCCCAGGCCCAGAGTTCGGGCCCCACGACCGGACCCAAAAAGAAAAGAAAAGAAAAATGTGAGATTCTTATCTCCAATTAACTACCAAATGTGAGGCTGCAGAAGCAGATAGCAGATCCATTTGTTTTCTATAAAACCGGACATTAAGAAGGGTTGCAAAAATGTATAACCCTGCCAGTAGTGTCCCATGGGTAAATAAAGTTGTTTTTCATTAAATTGCAACTTATATTGACATATATAGTGGGCTTATTCTTATTTTAAATGAATCAATAAATATTTTTTAAAAAGTCTTTGGCAAAATTTCTTTGAAGTAAGGGCCTCATCTTTGTTAGGCAGACATTCTACCACTTAACAGTGTCTTCAACCCTCAACATTTTTTCAGTTGTTTGCTTTTTTGTTTTTGAAACACTGATGCTGCTAAGAAGCCAAATCTTGCTTTGAATGCATCATACTCCTGCCTTAGTCTCCCCAGTGCTGGGATTATAGGCATACCATACTTTTCTTGACTCAGTTTAATTAGTAATACAGCAAATACCAATAGATATTTATCTACATTAAAGATACTTTCTAGGGTCCTTAATTTTTAAGAGTATAAAGAAATCCAGTACCACAAAAGAAAAAGGTTCTGAGATTAAAGTTTGAGAGCTACTGAATTAAGGATACAGGATTGACCCTTTGAATTCAGGATTACTGTCCTTATGGTGGGTTATTGGTTGAATTGCACAACTCAGGAGAGCAAGGCCTAAGGGGAAATGGAATAGTGAAATAGGTAGGTGTAGAAGTCTTAAAATGAGAGTAAATTATCTCTCCCTCTCTCCCTCTCTTTTAGAAATCATGCATGATGTGATAAAGAAGGTCAAAAAGAAGGGGGAATGGAAGGTAAGTAGAAAAGTAATGTTATTGGCCTTAATGTATGAGTTTGCATGAGAAGAGTAGGAGGGAAGGAGCTGGCACAGTGAGGGCTTTTGCTGTTACCAGAGGTTCAAAATGTGCCTAGATTGAAGAAAGTCCGCCTGTTCTGACTCTTGATAGGCTCTTGGTTCAAAAGTATCTTGGTCATAAAGCTTGTCATAAAGATCATCTGGTAGAGTACTCAGCACTGAGATTCTTTTGTTGTTGGTGGTAGTCATGAGGCTTGAACTCTGGGCTTGGGTTCTGAGCTGTCCCTCAGCTCTCTAGCTCAGGGCAAGTGCTCTACCACTTAAGCCACAGCACCACTTCCTGTTTTCTGGTGGTTCATTGGAGATAAGAGGCTCATGGATTTTGCTGCCTGGGCTGGCTTTGAATCACGATCCTCAGATCTCAGCCTCCTGAGTAGTGAGCCACCAGTGCCCAGTAGCATTGGGACTTCTAATAATCTTACTTGGTGGTTAGGAGCATGGCTCAAGTGATAGAGCACCTGCCCAGCAGGCATGAGACTCTTGAGTTCAAACCCAAAAGGAAAAAAAAATCTCCCCTAGAATCTGTTTGATAAAGCAGAAGGTACAGTTGTTCTGCTTGATGTGGGAGAAGAAGAGACCCTTTTAACTCCTTTTCTGGCCACAAAGCATCTCTAGGAAGCCCCCACAATTTAAAGCCTCCATCTGGTCTCTTCCCATCTAGCTCTAACTATGTAGGACAAGAGAAGCAGCTTGTTTATTCATTTTTCTTTGAGAGCAATGCTGGAAAACACAGGAAAACCATGAAGCAAATATTAAAGCTGAGCAGATGGATAATGGCCTAAAGTGACTGACAGAGGACTTTCATGCACATTGTCAACAGTTTAAGGATCACTTGGTTGTCTGGAGCTAGGTGCCATGCTGGCTAGGGAAGCATCCAAGGCCTCTCACTCTTATTTGGCTTTTTCACTCAAAGCTGGCACTCTATCACTTGACCTGTAGTTCTGCTTCTGGCTTTTTGGTGGTTAATCAGAGATAAAAATCTCATGAACTTTCCTGCCCAGAGCTGGCTTTGAATCATCATCCTCAGATCTCAGACTCCTGAGAAGCTAGGATTACAGGCCTGAGCCACTGATGTTGGGCTACTAGTCATTCTTGCCCTCAAGTTTTGGGAGCCCATACATGTCACATTGCTGGGCCTGGGAGCAACACGGCTCATTCCTACAAAAAGATTTTGAAAACTCATTCTAGCCTTGTAAAATTCTGTTTCAGCCATCAGATTGGTCTTCACCTGGCTATCTGGTGGGAGCTCTTTGTACCCTACCCATCATGGATTTTTTTTCCCCACTTTTTTGTGCCAGTCCTGGGCTTAAACTCTGGGCCTAGGTGCTGTCCCTGAGCTTTTGTGCTCAAGGCTAGTTCTACCACTTGAGTCACAGCTCCACTTCTGGCTTTTTGTAGTTAATTGGAGTTAAGAGTCTCACAGGCTTTCCTACCCAGGCTGGCTTTGAACCATGATCCTCAGATCTCAGCCTCCTGAGTAGCTAGAATTTCAGGCATGAGCCTCAATAGTGGATTTGTAGACATGGGAATTTTAAACTAATCTCCAAGAAGCTGCTTCATAAAATAAAACTATTTGGTACTTGTACTACAGCAGAAAGTTTTCTGGTCCACACCATGTGCTAATGTGTCTAGTTCCTATTGCCTCCTTGGTTTATATTATTAGAGAAGAAGAGAAAAAGCCTTAAGTGTAGGCTTCTCCCTACTCTGGGCTGAATGGAGCAAGTGTGGAGCTTTAGTTCAGGATTGAAATGTCCTTGTTCTAGAATGTATGTTCTGCGGAAGTTAAGACTCCTGATGACATACACATGAAGCCTCAGGTGCCATAGGTGTGGACACTAGTATTTTTTTCTCCTTTAAGAACATGTTATCAACTGGGCATGGTGGTTCATGCCTATAATCCCACCTACTTGGGAGGCAGAGGTCTAAATGATCACTGTTCAGGGACAACCCAGGCAAAAAGTTAGTGAAAATTCAACTTAACTAATAAGCTCAGTGTGATGACATGCATCTGTCATCCCAGCTATATGGGAAGCATAGATAGGAAGAACATAGTCCAGGCAAAAATGAGAGACCCTATTTGAAAAATAATTAAATGCAAAATGGGCTGGAGATGTGATTTAAGTGGTAGAACACCTGCCTAGCAAACAAGTGCAAGATCCTAAGTTCAAATCCTAGTACTGCTCCCCTAAAAGTTATCAGCTGGTCATGGTGGCTACACCTATAATCCCAACACAGGAGGATCAAACATTCCAGGCCAGCCTGGGCTACATAGCAAGACCCCATCGCAAACCCCAAACCCTCCCAAAAGCCACACTATACCCTGAAAAAAACCTCCTTAGTTCAGGCATGAACCACCACATCTGGCAGAAAAACTACTTTTTTAAGCTTATGAAATTATGTTAAGATAATGAGAGTGAACACTAACTCCTGGGTGGGGTTGCTCATGCATCTCAGCAGACCTGTGGTTCATAAGAAACATGGATTCTTCCACATACTGCATTTCTGATGCTCTTGTTGTAAAGCCAGATGCAGTGAAATAATAGGAGAAGCAAGCACTGTGTAACCCATGAATTGCTTCCTTTCCTTCCAGGTGCTGGTGGTAGACCAGTTAAGCATGAGGATGCTCTCTTCCTGCTGCAAGATGACGGACATCATGACCGAGGGGATAACAAGTGAGTGCAGTACACAATCAGTTATACATATCTTCCTTTTTCATTGTGCTTTACTCCTTCCTACTCATTCTTCTCACTTGACAGATGCTTCCAACAACTTACGTTGTGAGATTGTAGGCCCCCGACGGAGACCCACAACACCTGGTCATCCCAGGACCCCCAAACCTAAATGCAGTGCTATGTGCTCCTCAAATGTCAGTGAAGGAAATGCCAGAGTAAAGTTAAATCAAGGGTGAGAAACAAAGGCAGTCTACTCAATAGCAGAAAGAGCTGCACACTTAACAAAGGAAGAAAGCTACTTACCAAAGGAAGAGTACCCGCTTTCACTAGGGTTCAGGGAGATGCCACTCAAACCACAGTGAGACACCACTGGATACTCACCAGATTAGGACATTTAAGCTCCAATAATTCTAACTGACCAAGGATGTTAAGAAAATGGCAACTCCATGGGCTGGGAAGGTGGCTCAGTGGTAGAGTGCTTGCCTTGCATTCATGAGGCCCTGGGTTCGATTCCTCAGCACCACATAATCAAAAAGAAAAAAACTGGAAGTGGCGCTGTGGCTCAAGTGGTAGCGTGCTAGCCTTGATCTGAAGAGCTGAGGGACAACGCCCAGGCCCAGAGTACAGGCCCCACGACCAGACCCAAAAATAAAAAAATAAATAAAAAAGAAAATAGCAACTCCAGTATGATGGATGGTCAGTTAGTACTGCTACTTCAAACAGTGCCTTTCAATGTATAGTGAACTTGAAGACAAGTTCACTTATGATCAAGCAAGTTTCATTAGTCCAGAATTTGGGGCTGGGAGTTTAGCCCAGCGGAAGGGCGCCCGCCTGGCGCGTGCAAGGCCCTGGGTTCGGTTCTCAGCCCTGGTTAAAAAAAAAAAAGACACATTAGTCCAGAATTTTACCTGGTTAATTGGAGATAGGAGTCTCATGGACTTTACTTCCTGGTCTGGCTTTGAACTACAATCCTCTGATCTTAGCCTTCTGAGTAGCTAGGATAATAGGTATAAGCCACTGCCAACCAGCTCTAAGTCAACTTTAAAACTAAGATTGTCCCTGTTATCAGTTTGTCATTTTCCTCACTGAATTTCTTTTTTCTTTTCTTTCATTTCCTCTTCCTTTCCCTCTCTCCTTCCCTCCCTTTCTTCCTTCCTCCCTTCCTTCCTTCCTCCCTTCCTTCCTTCCTCCCTTCCTTCCTTCCTTCCTTCCTTCCTCCCTTCCTTCCTTCCTCCCTTCCTTTCTTCCTTCCTTCCTTCCTTCTTTCTTCTCCTCTTTCTTTCTTCCTTTCCTTCTTTCCCAGTCCTGGACTCTGTCCCGCCCCCCCTTTTTTTTTGCTCATAGCTAATGTTCTACTACTTGAGCTACAGTTCCACTTCCAGTGTTTTGGTGTTAATTTTTGTTGTTGTTGTTTTGTTTTGTTTTGAATTCTTGGCCTGGGCGCTGTCCCTCAGCTCTTCAGCTCAAGGCTAGTGCTGTACCACTTGAGCCACAGTGCCACCTCTGGTTTTCTGAGTGGTTTATTGGAGATAAGAGTCTCACCACCGCCTTTCCGGCCCTGGCTGGCTTTGAACCGAGATCCTCAGATCTCAGCCTCCTGAATAGCTAGGATTATAAGTGGGAGCCACCAGCACCCAGCTGTGTTTTTGGTGGTTAATTGGATATAGGAATCTCAGTGACTTTTTTTACCTGGGCTGCCTTTGAACCGTAATCCTCTGATCCCATCCTCCTGAGTAGCTAGGATTATAAGTATGAGTCATTGGAACTGGTCTTTTCTTTTTTTTTTTTTTTGGGTCCGGTCGTGGGGCCTGAACTCTGGGCCTGGGCGCTGTCCCTCAGCTCTTCAGCTCAAGGCTAGTGCTCTACCTCTTGAGCCACAGCTCCATTTCCAGCTTTTTTCTTTTTGCTTATGTGGTGCTGAGGAATCGAACCCAGGGCCTCGAGCATGCAAGGCAAGCGCTCTACCACTGAGCCACCTTCCCAGCCCTCTTTTCTTCTCTTTTGATGGCACGGAGGTTTGAAACAAGGGCTTCTTTCAGGTGCTGTAACCACTTGAACTATGCTTCCAACCGCCTCACTGAGTTTTTAACCTTTTCTGCAGCCAGTGCAGTGATTGCACCTGTAGTCCCAGCTACTTGGGAGGCAGAGGTAAGAAATTCACTTGAGCCAAAGAGTTTAACCATCCTGGGCATCATAGCAAGATCACATCTTAAAACACAACTAATTTTTTCTCTATAAAAAAAAAATTCTTAGCACTGATGGTTTATGCCTATAATCCTACCTACTCAGAAGGCTAAGTTCTGAGAATTGAGGTTCAAAGCCAGGTCAGGCTGATAAATCAGAGACTCTAATCTCTATTTGCCATCAAAAAGAGGGAAGTAGAGTTGTGGCTCAAGTGGCAGAAAACCACCTTGAGCAAAAACGCTAAGCAAGAGCATGACCCTGAGTTCAAGCTCTGCTCTCGGTGCATGTGTGCCCGTGCTCGCGCACACACACACGCACACACACAAAACATACAAGGGTAGGAAAAAGCCAAATGGAACAAATAGGTCTATAACAGGAACAGCAACACCCTGTCCTGCTGCTTCTTCCCATCCTCTAGACATCATCACTCTGGAGTCAAACACCTTGCTCTTCTGGTTTTTGTTTTCCATTTTGTCATTGTTCTATTACATAAAGCTTATACTATTACTTCTTGATTCATTAATGTCAGACCTTGTCTAATGACTTCCTGTGGTAGATGAGGATTTAGCTCCCCCACCACACAAAAGTCTTCTCTATCCTCAGGAATGGTTTTCAAAAACTCTCCTGGCTTAGAAAAATTAAACAGTTCACAACCCTATGTTAAAGTCCTAAAACATTTTGGAGGGAAATATTAGTAGGCTATGAAATTGAAACTAACCATTAGTAAAGTAAGTGGTTGCAGGAAGCGTTTGAACATTATTTGGGGTAATAGTTTTATAAATGATACAAGAGATACTTCTAGCTGGGTGCTGGTGGATCACGCCTGTAATCCTAGCTACTCAGGAGGCTGAGATCTGAGGATCACGGTTCAAAGCCATCCCGGGCAGGAAAGTCTGTGAGACTCTTGTCTCCAGTAAACCACTAGAAAACTAGAAGTGGTGCTGTGGCTCAAGCAGTAGAGCACTCCCCTTGAGCTGAAGAGCTGAGGGACAGTGCCCAGGCCCAGAGTTCGAGCCCCATGACCGACAAAAAAAAGAGATACTTCTAAAGTGAGTCCTACACAGGGGAGGAGCACCCACGGGGCTTTATGGTTTTTGTTTTTTGTTTGTACTAGAGGATGGTTCCCCATCGATAATCCACCCAAGCTTTATTAGGGGATGAGTGAGATGAGGGTGTTCCCAAAGCTGTTCTTTCCAGGTGAAGCGGCTGATAGAAACCTTTGGAAGGAATATTTACTATATAATGGATATGTAGAATGTCTTTGGAATGCAGAGGAAAATTATAAAAACTAACCATTATAAATAAACCCAACACAGAAATTCTAAAGGGCTTGAGATAGAATGTCTTTGGAATGCAGAGGAAAATTATAAAAACTAACCATTATAAATAAACCCAACACAGAAATTCTAAAGGGCTTGAGATGATTTAGGACAGGTGAGAAGTTAAAGTATGAGTCCAATGTACGGCTCTTAGCAGGATAAGGTAGCCTTCTGATTTCCTTTCAGAACAGATTGAGGACTTTACTTGAACTGAAATTGGACATGCCTTGTATGGCAAGATTTCAGGTTTTCTAACATCTTAGGTGTAATGAGACAGCAGACTTCACTCCCAGGGGAGGTGGTAACTTAAGCACAAAGTGAGTGGTTCCCTTTCATGCCCTTACTGTCCATGTTTGTCTGGGCCAGGAAGTGGCTAATCTAGATTGCTTCTTGTTTTATGATCTCCAATTATGTTTTCTTATTCACTGTGGGCCATTCTATTGTCTAGTTGTGGAAGATATCAACAAGCGCAGAGAGCCGCTCCCCAGCCTGGAGGCTGTGTATCTTATCACTCCGTCTGAGAAGGTAAATCCTCACTGCAGCCGAGTGTGGGTTGAGGTTGGATGTGCCAGGCTTGGGATCTCTGGGGCACAGAGCAGCTGACATTTCTAGGTTAAGTACGCATTTAACACACTGCTCTGTTTAAGCATGCAATCCACTGATAAGGTGGGGTGAGGGGGCCTTTGTACAGTGAGAAGTGAGTGTATTAAGCCTTTTGAAATATAGCAGCTATGCAGAAAGCCAGAACAGGTGTCCTTTTGCCCTGGGTCATCCTAGTTTTCTCCTTGAGTTCCGTTTTCAGGCAGATGACCCA